ATTATTAAACTTCGATTTTGGCATATTAAGTGGAGGATATGTGTCATAAAGTTGGGATAAGTTTTATAAAAGAGGGAGGTGGGTGCAATTGAGCCTTTTATGAGTTACATATGGAGATGGGTGAGAATCTTCAAAAATTGTAATACATAGATTTACATACATACCCGACAATTCTAAGAAACTTCTCTCTGAATTTTAAATATTTATTAATATAATATTTAAATCTTTAACATTATATCAATAAACATTTATCTACTCAATTTAGGATGTTGGATCCCATGTTGCATGTGGGCTCGTAGAATTTAGGAAAGATTTATGAAGATTTGGAAGAAGGTTTCTAACACCCAACTGTGCTTTTCTTCGGGTCTTCTCTTGGGTAGTCAAACATGTCTATATATATGGCTCGAGATGTTTCTTGTTCGTTGTAAAGTTTGACAAAACATGTAATGATTTTAATACAATACGAGGCATGTGCATGGAGTGTCAATGAAAGATGACGATAATGTAAGTATCAAGCTTCTCATAAATGCACATAGACATATATTCTCTTCATCGATACCAAGCAACTGGTACGTAAGTAGATTAATTTAATATGTCAGCTCAACAAGTCAACCCAACAATCGATACTTTGACAGATGAATTTGGTAGGTCAATTCAACAAGTCAAACTGACACCTAGAACATGAGAACTATTGCTTTGGAAGAACAACATGTAGGTCAACCCGGAAGTTGGAACAAGGTAGTCATGCTTTAGAAAAATAAATGTGTTGTTTAGGCTTGTAAGGTCTGTTAGCATACGTAACGACTAGTATAATTTATTTATTAGTCTACAGTATTAATCTTTTAAATAAAACGTACTTTTTCATGCATATATTTAAATTTAACTATGATTATAGACTATTTTATTAATAAATTTTAAATTTAGGGGTTATATATGCACAAAAAAATCATGTAATGTTGATGTAAATCTCTTAATTAGAGATTAAATGTGCACAAAATGGGTGATTTGGGTCTCATTGGCACTATTGAATGGAACCACCATTTTATTGCCTATAAAATTATTGAAAATTCAATTTAAAAAACTTTTAAAGTATATTTAATAAAAGTGACATATATTTCAATGAACTTATTATGTGATAATTATGTGAAATTTCTCTTGATTAAATTAATAAGATGAATCATAACAATTATTATAACTACCTATGTAAGGTTTGAATAATTTTGTCATAAAAAAATATTTGAGTTTAAATTCAAAATAATTGAGATGATCAGATGCTCAACTGCCCATCATATGGATGTGCGAGCAAGCAACGTAATGCGAATGATATTATCAGTTGCACGAGAAAATATTCCGTTCGGACACTATATGTCCGGATGGCCAACAATGGGCCCTCACATGACCTTGCATCTCATCCATGGAATGGCCGTCCCATTATCCAAAAACAAAAAAAAAAAAGAAAATTTCCCAATTGAGAGAATGCTCAAAACTTTTGGGAAAAAATATTGAGCGAGAAGCCGATTATGTACAAATTCACAATCCAGCCGTCTCTCTTCGCCGGCGGCGACTCATGACTCCACCGCCACAGTTGCCGGCGAAATGATCTCCCGAAAGGTCCGATTAAACTCTCCCTCGTCCAGCCCATCGATGAAGGGATGCACAAGAAGCTGAGCAACGGACCACCGCTTGCTCGAATCCTTCTGCAAGCATCGACCGATGAAGTCTCTGAAATTGCTGGAAGCAAACTCCGGCAGCTCCGGCGGTTCGCCGAAGCAAATCGCACACATCAGTGTTGCCCAATCCGGTCGCTGGCCGGGCGGCAACAGAGGAAAATGACCTAGATGGAGCTCGAGCAGAGTTAACCCTAGACTCCACACATCGGCCGCGTAGGCGCCGTGGTTGCCGCCGTATGAATTATGAATCGGGATCGAACCTTTCCGGACTCATATAAGCGCAGGTGCCGACGTAGGAGAAACAGGGGTCGAGCGACCGCCTCATGATTTTGCTCACACCGAAGTCGGCGATCTTAATCTCGCCGGCGGTGTTGACGAGAAGGTTGCCGGGCTTGATGTCGCGGTGAACGATTTCGGGCGGTGTTGACGAGAAGGTTGCCGGGCTTGATGTCGCGGTGAACGATTTCGTGAGAATGGAGGTACGAAAGACCGCGGAGGACCTGTCGGGCGATTCCAGAAATAGCCGATTCAGGGAAGGGAATGCCGCGGGAGGCTAGGAGGGATTCAAGCGATCCGGCATTCATGAACTCGAGGAGGACTGAAGTGTCGCCGGAGGGAGCGGAGACGACGCCGTGGCAGTGGATTACGAAAAGTGAATCGGTGCTGCGGAGTATTTGAACCTCGCACGCGATCTGTTGTTGCCGGAGGGAGTCATCGGCTGTGAGCGCCTTGAGAGCGTACACTGATCCGGTGCGGCGGTGACGAACTTGGTAGACGGTTCCGCCATTACCGTGGCCGAGTACTTTGATCTTTTCGAAATCGGAGAGGCGGTGATCGCCGCCGGAGTGAACGGCGGCAGTCGGAAATGCAGCCGGCTGTGGAAAGGGAAATGGGGGGAGGCTGAAGCACTGTCGGCAATCGGAGCCGGAGGTTGAATCCTGGCGGGGGAGATCGAGGGTGAGATTTGCCTTAGGGAACCTTCGCTCTCGGATTACAGCCATTTCGGTTCTGATTTCGGAGATTGCGGAAGAACAGAGTGGAGCTTATATATATAGTGAAAAGAGTAGGAGAGACCGTGGTGGTACGATCACCTTCCTTGTGAGCTAGTAGAGAGTTCCCCGCAATTCGCAAATGCAGCTTTGTAGCAAAAATCGACAGGTGAGAATACAAGGGGTTAGTGAATCCACTTGTCGGGAATGGAAATGTGGCGGAGGAGGTGAACGGGAACCGGACGGTACCGGAAAGGAGGAGGAAATGAGCGCACGAGTCTTTTGGGGCGGACAAGTTATGAAGACCTAGAAAGTGACCGTTCATTTGACTTTCTTGAGTTTTAGGGAGGATGTGCATGGGGCCCGCTTAGAAATTGTGGTTTGATTGGCTATATCTGATTGCTAATGTCCGGATTTCTATAGGGTTTGGGATGGATTCCATGATTGGAGGAGTTTGGACGGCTTGGATAACTCTTGACGATTTTTTTTTTAATGCTACTTAATAGTGACTATAGCACTACATTAGATGATAATATTTCGATAGATAGTTGGCTATGCTGTGTCTCTGGTGGAATAAATTGATTTTTTAGAAGCTGATGAACATCTTAAGAGAATAATATGATTTAGAGCTGGCCATAAGGCATAATTCATAACTTGAAGGATTCGTGTATCTAATTGAAGTTTCGACCGTCACTTTCTCAGGAGCTGATATGATTGTTGAAATTGTTTGTTAAGTTCTTTCCCGTCAAGTACTGTCAATTGAAAAATAGTTGAAATAAAGATCACTATTAAGGGACTGACATATGCTCTATCATCATCGATGAGCAACTCGATATTCACGTCATATTTTTTTTAGCAAGACACTGTGGACGTATCTCGTATAGTACAATCCACATATCATCTCTTATGACCTACCAAAGTACAATCATTGGAGAAACTGAGATTTTAGGAGAGAACCATCCATCATTTTTTTTTTCATTTTCTCTACACAAATCTCTGTCTGGTTGAATGCAACTACGGATAATATGAAGTCCAACATTCTCAAAAGATATTAACATACTAAATACTTAAATAAAATTATATTATTTGCGGAAAATGAGATTGTGGTCAGTCATAGATAGCGCACTAAAAAATTCTGAAGATATTTGGCCCATTATGTGGAAAGTCATAGATAGCCCAACTCAAAATTTAAATTTGATTGATTAATGATTTTGAAGTCATGAGTCAAACATAAAGAGGGTTGGAAAAGCTCTTCGATTATATTCTATCGAGAATAATAAATAAATAAAAGAAAATAAGTTTTGTAAAAATAAAATCATTAAAAAATGAGAATTTTGAGGAGAATGAATAAGAAATTAAGGCATTGTTACATATGTAGCACACAAAATAATGCTATTTACATATCTCATATAAAAAACTTTAATATTACAAAATTCAAACAAAAGCCGGCTTCCGTTAACGCCGTCGTGTCCAGGCCCAGTGAATTGTAGTCTTTTCTAGTATAAATAGCACTGAAGGAGTTAGAAATAGCTAGGAAGGCAGCAACGGGTCGGCTGTGAATTACGATAAAATATTAGGTCAGGACTTCAGATCATCTGGAGTTCAATAAGGAGGTGTCACGTGGAAAGTGGACCCATCATAATACACTGTGATTGGTCCACTTTACATGTGTCGCTTCGCCATAGGACTCCGGATGCATGCGGACTCCTGACCTAATATTTTCTCGTGAATTATAAAGGCCTTTGAAACTCCCAACTTTCTCCTCCTTAAATCCCTCTTTCATTTATTTTGTCTAAAATTGGTCCTTCCAAAATTAGAAAAGTGGGTGGGAGGAATTGGGAGAAAATGAGGGTACACTTTCTCAATAGTTTCAAGTAGGAGCGGTGCGATAGGTGGATAAAGATGAGAGTTTATGACGTCTTTTGTTGGTTGTGATCTCGTCGATGCCATCTTAGCGGCGCGACGGGAGGAGAAAGATGAGAGTTTGGGAGGTCGGCCGCAGAGGATGGGAGGTTTGGATGTTTTGTTTGCTGAGATCATTCACTGCCTTACCAACTGGATAGCAGGAGGAGAACGATGGGAGTTTTGGATGTTTTGTTTTTACATTCTCTCCCAAATGTACAAAGCCCTATATAAAATTATAATTATAAGCTGTATTTTTATATTAAAATAATTATATTTTCTAAGTCTTCATTAGCTGACAAATCCAGCCAATTTTAGCTTAAACCTGCTCAATTGTTGATCCAAATTGACCTAGAAGCCATTTATGATCAGGCCATTTTCAAATGTTTATATATTTGTCATTTAAATTTTGAACATGTATACAAAAATATGTTAGCATGAATTTTGAGGTAGTTGAACGGCTTAGAAGGAAGATACGACCGAACGAATGTAGCAGTTCACGACCATTTAGGGGAGAGATTGGCGAAGAAGACATTTGGGTCTAGTGATCGGAATAGAGGGATTCTCACAGGGCGGCGATTAGGCCTCAAGCCGATCAACAATAAGAATTATTCAGATCAAAGGTAGGCAAACTCAAGGCTTAACAAACAAAAGCTGAACTCCCTAACGACTGAATCAGTCATGGTCTCATTGTATGCGAATATCTCTGTAATTACCAAAAACACCCCTTTGGATAGTCAATAATTAGGGGATTGATATGTAATTTTGTAAAAATGCGACCTAATGCTATAAATAAGTGGTTCATGTTTTGAATAAATGTGACACTCTCTTTTACTATTCTTTACTACGCACCCTCTCTTTCTCTCTCATCCCTCCTTGTCGAATGCTCTATACTTTGGGTGTGTTACCTAGACACTTTTGGATTCACACTCCATCATCTTCAAAAATAATTGACAAGCAAACAATGAGAAAATAAGACTTAGAAAAGACTAGACTGAAGAAAGCAATACAAGAGGCTTTAGAAGATTCCACGACATTCTAGAAAAACCTAAAAAGAAGAAGAATGTTCCAAGGAATTCTAGAAGGTTCTACATAAGTTCAAAAATATGTTGAAAGAAGCAAGCTTAAAGGAACTTGTTGCGTGCTGGAAAATTCGCAGCGGTAAAGTAACAGACTATCGTCTTAGCGTTGTACGAAAGTTCAACACAACCACAGATACACACAGATCAAAGAAATAACAAAAACTGATGACTCCAGAAGTTTTTACGTGAAAAAACCGTAAGAGAAAAACCACATGGCCTGAGCCAGATGCGGAAATCCACTATTGATTGATGATTACAAAAATTCCTTGTCCCACAAACGAGAAAGGGTAACTATATTTTCAGATTACAACGTCAACTGATGGAGTCTGGTTGGTGGTGATTGATGACGGGTAGTGGTGGTCCATGAAGGTTGGCGGAGGTTAACGACGGTCGGCGGTGGTTGTCGGAGGTCGGCGACGGTCGTCGGTGGTTGACGACTGAGGTCGACAGTGGTCGAAGGAGATCTGCGGCGGTCGTCGGTGGTGATGCTGAGCTGCAGCTTCTTCTCAAGGGCTCAGGCTCTTTCTCTAGACTTCAGCTTCCCCTCATGTGAGGAGTGGAGGTCTATTTATATTGTTCTGGGTGTAATTAATGCAGGAATATCAAACATTTTGATCGGACGGTCCAGATAATTTCCTTTGATTATGCGGTTTTTAATGGATATTTGAATACTTTAATGAAATCGAAATTGAGTGATTTTGGGCTCGTTGGATTTGTCTTGTCGAGACACTGAATTCAATTATAAACTTGCTAGTGTAGACATCTATTTGACCTTCCAAATGTGTCTGAAAATCTTTCGAGGGAGGTTTAATGACTTGATCTGAGCTTGATTTGACTCGGATTTGACTAGTTTTAATATCATTAGGTCCGTCTCATCGAGTCGGTCGGTTTGACTATAAGTTTGTTGAAATCAGAGCTCTAGATGACTTTTTATCAAGATTTGAATGTTTATTGTTCAAAATATCATCTCAGGATCCGTGACATGTTTCAAGATTTGTGCGAGATGATGAAAATTTATTGATGTCGTACCAAAACTTTAGAATATTATCAAAAGTTTTAGAAGCATTTATATGTAAAAAAACAATGTAGAACTATCTAGAAGATAGTATATTCTAATGTAATTTACAAAGTTCCCCTAGGCTTGGGGAGGACTGTAGATACAAGACTCTCTTCCTCATTTGGATCTATGCAAGAACCATCCAAGGTTCCCAAGCATTTAAGTGTTATAATCACTCTTTTGTTAGTGAAGTGTTTATTTCTCCAATACTTCATCCTAATCTTTTTCCTAAAACGTTTTGTGCTTACAAGCCCAAACATTGTGCGAGTATGATGATTTAAGGCCAAGGAAGAGCGCTAAAACTACACAGAAGACTTAAGGTAAGTAAGTCCGTGACATTATGCTAATCAAGCTTTTAACATTTTTTCTTAATTTTAAAAACTTTTTGGGGGCATTTACAAACAAGCCCCGTAATTTTTAAGTGTTTATATGTTTATCATTTATATTTCAGTTTTTACATTTATAATATTCCAATACTTTTTAGGGCATAAAAATGTTAGTTTTATTAACATAAAAACGTAAAATATAGCTTTTAATACATAATTAAAATTATATATATATATATATATATATATATCTATATATAATTTAAAATATAGTGTCAGATATATAAATACAATGACATTATATGGCAAGTATGTAAATCTATCAACTTTTTAAAGATATTTGTTGAATTTAAATTGCCAAGGAGACACTCATGGAATAAAGTGTGAATAGGAGAGAGAGAGAGAGAGGAAGAGAGTGCAAGATGTGAATCTTTAGAATAAGTTTTTATTACCATTTACTGTATAAATGATCTCCTATTTATAGACATGGGGGCATCAAAGTGACAATTACATACTTACCCCTCTTTTGATGTGGGGAGTTTCAAGCTATTTAATGTATTTTATATAAGAAGGCCAACTAATCGGCTACTTGCCTCTCGACTGCTGCCTTGTTGGATGTCAAGGATCATGGTTTGGCAAGATCCATCCACTAACCATACTGAGTAGAGGTTGTAGAAAGGCTTAGTGATTACCTTTGATAATATGATATTCGGCTTTGTCGACTTGAATCTGTCGGTCGACTTTTGATGACCTTTTAATCGTCTGGAGTTGATTTGATCTGCTCGACTCTCATGGTCAACTGTTATGGCTTGGTTTTTTATTCCTCCCCTCAAGATGGAGGACTCATGTTGCGAAGATAAGACTAAAGTGTCGAGCAGAAAGTGAATCACGGAAATCTACAGATATCTCTCCCTTTTGGGAAAAAGGTCATTTGGGGACCTCATGGAAGGCATCAAGGTAGAACCATTAATCTTCTTATGAAGAGTCTCGGTGAATTCTGGTGAGGCGGCCAACAACACTGAGGCCGAGGTTAGGCCGGAGTCTCTTCTCAGGTAGATAAATCTCGGCCATTGATTCAGATGATTCGTGTTTGGTCGAGTTTTGGTCTAGATAAACAAAACTTTGTCTTTAGTCAATGATGTCCTCTGGTTCTACATTGAAGGGACCCGCGGCATTTCACTAATGTGCATTTCTTTTTTTCTCCTCTCATCCTTAGTCCGTTGGATTTCCTGGAGATTCATGCTTAACACATTTATGATATATAATATGTAATTTTATAAGGATTTTAAAATTTTATGGTGTCTGTTGTCTAATTTTATGCAATTTTATTATTTTTAATGTAATTTTTAATCTTATGAATTATTTTATGACAAAACTAAACGACTCCGTGACATTCATGCATGAAGTCGATTTATCTAGTTAAATTTTGGTCATCATCAGTGCCGAAGCATAAATTTGATAATGTAAACATTTAACATATTGAAACATTTCGATAACATTTTCTAAAATATTTTTACAACCTTTTTGCTTGAAATTTACAATTTTATATGAAAAGCTTATTTTTTTTTTATTTTTTTATGGAATTATCTAATTAAAACCTTTTTTTATTTTGGAAATTGGCATAAGAAGTAAGAAAATAATTTTTTGAAAAAAAAAATTAATTCTCTGTCTTAATTTTACAAAGGCTCACATTCATGCATCAGTGGTTAGGGCTATTAAAAAAATTTATTGTTAGTGAACAACTCGTGTTCAACATGTTAAGTAGCTCGTGTTCGAATCGTTCTAAATAAGTGAATCTAACATAAATACATTTTTTAAGCTTGAATTATAAATAAGCTGAACACAAACAATCCATTTGTTTGATCTTCTCGGCTCCTTTTAGCTCTAAATTTAAAAAAAAAAATTATATATATTAGTTATATAATAGTTTGTTTTTGGTATTTATATTTAAGTTTAAATTACAACAGCTCGCGTGATCATATGATTTTACATTTTTTATTGTTCAGACATAATACATGTTCAAATCCAACACTTTATACATATTTTTATAATTATTTTAAATAAGCAATGACGAGGATAGCATAAACAAAAAATATATAAATCGAGCTCAACACAAATATATTGCTCCCTAACAAATTCAAATACAAATTAGTTTAGAAAAGAATCAATTTCGAATAAGCTCAATTTTTAACGAACCGAACACTATACATATTTAGTCTAGCAGAACATGGGCTCCACGTCCCAATTATAAGAAGAAGACATTGCAACGACTTAGAATGAGATTCACGTGCCAAAATAAACGGCGGGGAAAAGTCGGGCTGCGCCACCATTTTGGCTTCATCTTAAGGAGCTTCCTCGTGGGTTGCAATGGAAGAAGATATTGGGCAGCGGTGGTCCCAAATCCCAATATGTGAACACACGTGAGACGTGGTGGGGCACGTGGCCACTTCTGGTGGGACGCCCTTGCCAAGTGGTGGGGGCAAAACTTGTCCTATCCCTATGTGGGCTCCCATAAAAAAAAAATAAAATGGAGATGCATTTTACAGTTATATTAACCATCTAAAATCTTCAAAAATGATTTAATGATTTGATCTATAGTTGTCCAATTTTGATATCATATGATTCATAATGGGACCCACCCACGGCCACCATAGTTGTCCAATTTTGGTATCATATGATTCATAATGGGACCCACCCACGGCCAATATCTTCTGAGTATTTTTTAATATCTTATAATATGTGCTAAATAAGATTTAAAATACCTTTTATGATGAGACATCAATTAATTAAAATTTAAAATTACGAATCAAGAATGAAAAGTGCACGACACAAAAAAGTTTTGATTAAGATACATAACACAGCTGCACAACTTATTATCTCTCTCATGTGATTGTCTATATGATATATCGAAATTCATGCATGTACCTTATTTCTAATAGAATCTTCATAGGACTCTAAAAAGTATATTAGGAAAGATAAAATTAGATCGACCTGCACGAAGACAATATTGGCCGGAAAACTAAATAACATGCAGCGTGTCTAGGTCATCCTTAGTGGGAGAGCTAAGCAACACATGCAGAAAAGAGTTAATAATATTCTTCATGTTGTTCCCCATTTTTATTATAAGACCATCTGCAGAAGATCGCTCTAATATACTCTCATGCATATTAAAACAAAAACACAAACACACCAAAGAATATCGCTCTAATATACTCTCATGCATATTAAAACAAAAGCACAAACGCACCAAAAAACACTAGAACAAACAAACCAACAAAGAAAATAGCAAGGGGCTTCAAAAATAGTACATAACCTAACACACTATTTAACGAGAAGTGTACTAATCAACATAGAAAATACTACCAAACCTTACATTAACCTCTCTTTGAGGACTCAAGCTCAAGTGCATCAATAAAAGAAGCACCAACAAATTTTTTTTTCCTCAAAATGTGGAACATAAATTAAAAAGTATACAACTTTAATCCACAAAAATTAGGATAAAATTATCCCAACCAGAATCCATATGGCAATCACAATCATCCTTCTTAAACTCAAGACTCACCACTAAATTCACAAAAATAAGATTCATTGATCCAAAAACAACGATATTCTCATTTCAATCCTTTAACCTTGTTCCGGGGGGAAAACAAATCTAAATACAATAAATATCCAAATCAATAAAAATAAAAATAAAAAATCAAGCGAATCCCGCGAAGTTTCGCCGGAAGAGCTATATCTACAAATTCACAAATTCAGCCGCCAACACTCGGCGGCGGCGAATCATGACTCCGCCGCCACCGCCAGTGAAATCATCTCCCGAAATACTCGATCCGACTCACTCTTGTCCCGACCAGCGATGAAGGGATGCGCAAGCAGCTCCGTCACCGACCACCGCTTGCTCGATTCCTTCTGCAGGCACCGCCCAATAAAGTCCCGAAAATCGCAGGAAGCTGTCTCCGGTAGGTCCGGCGGCTCGCCGAAGCAAATCGCACACATAAGCGTCGCCCAATCCGGTCTCTGTCCCGGCGGCAAAAGTGGAAAGTGACCTAGATGGAGCTCAAGAACAGTGAGCCCTAGACTCCACACATCGGCAGCATAGGCGTCGTAGTTGCCGCCGTATGAATCGGGATCGAATCTCTCCGGGCTCATATACGCACATGTGCCCACGTATGAGACGCAGGGGTCCAGAGATCGGCGCATGATTTTGCTCACACCGAAGTCGGCGATCTTGATCTCCCCGGCGGTGTTGACGAGGAGGTTCCCGGGCTTGATGTCGCGGTGGACGATCTGACGAGAATGGAGGTAGGAAAGACCGAGGAGAACCTGGCGTGCGATTCCCCCGATGGCCGATTCAGAGAAGGGGATTCCACGGCGGGCGAGGGATTCGAGCGATCCGGCGTCCATTAGCTCAAGAAGCAGGGCGGTATCACCGGAGGGAGTGGGGATGACTCCGTGGCAATGAAGTACGGCAGGGGAATCGGTGCTCCGGAGAATTTCAACCTCGCGCGCGACCTGTCGGCGGCTGAGGGAGTCGTCGGCTGTAAGCATCTTGAGAGCGTATAGGGATCCCGTTCGGCGGTGGCGAACTTGATAGACGGTTCCGCCATTTCCATGGCCGAGGACTCTGATCTTTTCGAAATCGGAGAGCCGCTGCTCGCCGCCGGAGGGAACGGCAGGCGCCCCCTTTTGCCTCCGCCGCGGGGGGAGGGAAGGGTGAAGCGTTGGCGGCAATCAGGGCCCGCGGTTGAATCCTGGTGGGGGAGATCGAGGGTAAGGTTTCCTTTAGGGAGCCTACGCTCTCTGAGTACCGCCATGAGGGCTCTGAATTCTGATACGGATTGGGATATGGAGGACTGTCCTGGAAAAGAAGAGATATATATAAAGTGGATGAAGAAGACAGTGGGAGAGAATAGTGCGGATACAGTCACCTTCCGAGGGGGGCTTGAGTATTTTTTTGGGCTGCTTTCGAGGATAAAAATCTTGGCGGTGAGAGGGAAGCGGTGAGTGGATCCACTTCGCTTGTCCGAAATAAAAACGTGCTGGTGGCGGTGAACGGAGAGCAGACGGTACTCGGAAATGAGGTGGAAGCGAGCGATGGGCGCTAAAGATGGGCTCCTATTTAGACCACAAAAAACAGACCAATTATTGGACCACTCAACATGGGCGGATGAGGGCCCGCTATTAACTATGATTTGATTGCATGACCCTTAGAGGTTGGGTTGAGTAAGCCGAGTCAAACTCTAAGTTCTCCTTGACTTGAGTTTTAGTTCATTTAATTTTATCGAGTTTAAGTACGAGCTCGAGCTTATGTCTATAGATTTTGAGTTGGCTCACCAACCAACATATTTAGTATAAAAAGAGAGAATAATCTTAATTTAAGTCATTGTTATGACAAAATAAATAATTATAAGAAAAAACATGAAAAATCACTTAATAGAAAACAGAAAATATTATTTTTAAGTATTTTCTTAACTTTTTTGAGATAAATCTTCAAATTTAATATATTTTGAATATATTGTGCATTAATATATTTTTAAACATTCAGACTTACGAGCTAACGAATTTAGTCGAGGCTAGCTTGAGCTTGGCTTGTTAGCTCATCGAGCTCATTTCACAAGCAACTTATCTAGTCGAGCGAGTTGGCTTGACTTACACCCCGAGCTGACATGTCTAAACTTTATTCTTCTGTGAATAATATGGTTTTAGTAAGAGGTTTATGATTGGAGGCGTTTTGAAGGTTTAAATCACTGTATAATTCAATAGAATCACCTAAACATATTATTTGATCACACACACACACACACATAGATATATATATATATATATATATATATATATCTGGCTCATTGGTTGAGGCCTTTAGTGTAAATCTCTCGAGTTGGGGTTTCGATTCCTGTGTAGGATCGAACTGCACACCTATATAGAAGAGGAGTGCCCCTCGGTCAGACCTTGGGTTTGATCAGCGATCCCTGAGATAATTTATTAAAGATATATTTGAGAAAGAATTTGAATTTTCTAAAATAAATCAATAGGATGATTATTATCATATAAGGAATATATAATCATCCTATTGATCTACTTTAGAAAATTCAAATTCTTTCTCAAATATATCTTTAATAAATTATCTTAGGGTATCTTTCTCAAATATATTTTTAATAAATTATCTTAGGGTATCTTTCCATAACACAGCTTCTTAAACGTGAATTTATTTTTAAAGTCTGTAATATTCTTTAAAACGAAATAAGATTCAATACATATTATACATCTAATTTCATATAACAAATTAGTAAATATATGATGCATGCATGGATTAGAAATTTTAAATATATTTTTTTGAAATTCAGTGCTCTATAACTCAACATATTTTTGTATTGAAGACACCAATTACGACATAATTTTTTTTTTCTTTTTCAAAATTTGAAATTTACATAATAGCTAGAAAATAATTTTCTTAATTTTTAAATTAATTTTACTAATTTAAACATAAGTATTTTGCATATATCTATATTAATTATATTTTTAAACCCTGACTCTCTTTAGATCCCTGGTGGTGGCCCAGTTAAGATTTGCCACATCTCCTTATCAATAGGATGATTATATATTCCTTATATGATAATAATCATCCTATTGATTTATTTTAGAAAATTCAAATTCTTTCTCAAATATATCTTTAATAAATTATCTTAGGGTATCCTTCTCGAATATATTTTTAATAAATTATCTTAGGATATCTTTCCATAACACATCTACAAATAAAATGAAATTTGATCCCAACGATTCTTAAACGTGAATTTATTTTTAAAGTCTGTAATATTCTTTAAAACGAAATAAGATTCAATACATATTATACATCTAATTTCATATAACAAATTAGTAAATATATGATGCGATTAAAAATTTTAAATAGATTTTTTTGAAATTCAGTGCTCTATAACTTAAACATATTTTTGTATTGAAGGCACCAATTACCTCATCAAGTTTTTTTCTTTTTAAAAATTTGAAATTTACATAATAGCTAGAAAATAATTTTATTAATTTTTAAATTAATTTTACTAATTTAAACATAAGTATTTTGAATATATCTATATTAATTATATTTTTAAACCCTGACTCTCTTAGATCCCTGATGGTGGCCAAGTGATGAAAATGTAGATATGATATGATATTTGCCTAGTTATAAGTTATGGAAAAAGGGAACATAGGGATTAGATTGTATGTATGAAAATGCCCCCAATTTTTTTTTAAATCGTTATGTTGATCATATTTGTGTGATGCTTTGATTTTATGAATTACTTTGACATCGTCCAACTTTATGTAGATTTTATTTCTCTTAACTTTTTAACTACTCAAATCAAAAACTTAAAATGCGCGTATAAAACATAAGAAAATATTCCCACATAATACAAAATCATGGTTTTAAAATTGCATCAAACGAGCTGATTCAACTGTAGATTGATCATTCGACCAGTTCGGACTAGGTTTAAAATTGTTTCTACATAAAATTGAGATTAAACAGTTCATGATTGGAGCTGAACCGAAGAACCGGTCCGATTTTTAATTGACCGATATATTCTATTATTGTCGAATTTAACCTTCTTATTTTGATGAAATGGCTAGAAATAAGTTATTTAAATTTAAAATAAATAAAATATCATATGTCAGATCAAAATTGTTCAAAATATTTAAAAAGTAAGAGTATAAGACTAAAATGTTGTTTAGTAAATTGATAAAAGTAATAAGTACATTTACATACATACCACCCACTTATTATGTATTTGTACGTATCAAAACCTAATTCTTGATTTATTTACATTTATACCAAACAAATCTTTCATATCACATAAAAAATACAGCTATTTTAACTTTAAAATAGAGAAATACAACTTTCTATGCATCTGTAAGGTGTCATGTTATCATTAGGGCTGTAATCGAGCCGAGTCGAACGAGTATAGCATAGTTCAGACTTGACTTGGTATAATTATAAGTTATTTATATTCGACTCGAACTTGTGTCGAGCTTTCATATATTGTTCAAGCTTAACTTGTTTCTAACTTTCCAAATATTGAATTTGATTTGTACTTGAATAGTTTATGACAATTGAACGAGTATTTAAACGAGCAAATAAACAAGTTAAAAATTCAAACAAAATGAAAAATTCAATAAATAATTTTATAAATGTGATATTGCCTATTAAATTATTGATTATAAACTCTTTAATTATGAAAGCTGACTCATGAATCATAGTCATATGAGATGTAATATCTCAAATTTTAGTATGATCTATATTTCTTTTTTTTTATTGATTTGTTGTCTCATTCTTATTATTAATCATATAACTTTTAACAATTGCACAACATTATCCAAACACCACTTTTTAATCTCGTAGAATTTATGAACAGAGTGGAATGAGAGATAAAAGAAAGACTAGAGTTTCAACAATGCTTGCACACCGGGATCTAGTCGTTGCATGCGGTGCTTGCACGCTGTTGCAACTCAGTGATTTATATGTTTTGGGCGAAACCAAAAGACACGAAACTATGAGACCAGAGATAAAGTGAGATTCGTGGACGTTAAAAGTGAATTTTAAGGACTTTTCATATATACCACATAAGTCTTATGTATTTTCACATCAAACATATAAACATTAATAAAATAAATATATAATTAATAATTAATAAAAAATAGTATTGACATAAAAATAGATTACTATTAAGCCTATAATTAATTAAAATAATAGCTAATTAAATTTTAACTAAATAGAATATCATATATGATTTGAGTTATCGGGCTTAATATCTCTTATTTACCTAGTTACTTGTTGAACAACAAATAAGTTTGTTCGTGAACATAAATGAGCAAGTTTGACTATGTTCATGTTTACTTCATTCAAGCTCCGAGTTTTTAAAAATTGTTCAAACTTGTTTATTTATTAACTTGAATGAACATAATCGAGTCTTAATCGAGCCGGGTTCGATTTATTTACAACCTTAGCTGCCGTATATGCAAGAATAGAATTATAGTTTTTTAAATATGTAAATAAAAAAGAATGGTATGCTTGTAAAGTTCCTTAATAATATTAATATATTATTTATATTATATTTAAATAATTTTAAGGTTTACTTTCAACCTCTCGTTTCTTAAGATTCTAAGCACGGTTCGGTATTAATTAATGATTTTTAAAATACATTTAAAAATGATTTTACGTAAAAAATTCAAAACAATGCAATTAATAACTTCTGAAACTTGTTTATGAAAGGAGTTTATCTCCTGAAGGAAACATGAAAAGTTCACTTAATTAGCGTTTGTAATTAAGAGATAATTAAATAAGTTAAATAGCAATTAGTTGTGTTTAGTAGTTAAGAAAAGCGAGCTAATTATAATTTCTGAGGAGTCTCATTGGCCAGCCTGGAATTAATGGAATTTTAATGGCATGGTTCTTGAATGAGTTGACTTATTATAACATGTATTATAGTCAATATTATAATCAAATTAATAATAATGACAATACTAATATTGTTACTAATTAAAGTTCTTAATGACGCAAGTGTGCTGATTATGTCACGCATTAGCTCAGTATAAGAGGCGCCAGAAGGTTAATTAGGGTGTTGAGGACGTCTGAAGTTGTATTATTAATTTATTATAGTATGGTTATTTGATCTTATAATATTCTGTGTGAATTGTACCAAAGATTTCACTGTAAATTTGGATAGAGTCAAAAGAGAGAAATTAAATAAGATGCAAATTAAAATATTATTGTTCAGGAAAATTTTATTTATTTATATTTTTTAATGATATTAATTTATGAGCAAAAATATATAGAAGTACGATTGGATATTTATTATAAAGCACATTTATCAGGGACAATAAATAAACAAATAATATGTTCATAAAAAATGTATCGGCAATAATGTTGAGGAGATCCAACACTCCTGAAGAAAAGAGTACGGAGAAAGAGAACCTACTACTAGAAAGATCACGAGGGTTACTTCATAAACTTGAGAATAAGTTATGCGAATAAGGAGGAGGAGGAAGAAAAGAAGTTGAGAAGAAGCAAATTTCGGTGTAGGATCTCATATTGCAATAAAATCAGAATAAGTTACACAAGAGTCGTGTAAGTCAGAGGAGGGAAAATAAGAAATGACTAAACTAACCTTAAATAATAGTAATGATGCTTCTAATATCCCCCTCAAACTCATAATGTGTTTACATGAAGCATCGAAGGTTTGCTAAGTAAATAATGAAAATGTAAAATAGTATTTGCCTTGGTGAAAAAAACTATAGTATGCACGGTAGAAGAGATATAGGGTAAGTGATGACGTGTAAAATGACAATCAATTTCGATGTATGTGAGCGGTTTGAATAACACTATTATTATCACAATACATGGGAGTTGGGTCAAAAAGAGAGACTCACATGTGAACAAGTAACCATCATAATGATATGATTAATCTCAATAATAGTAGAAGACATACCTTGATATTTATGCAGGGCAAGCAATGTATTTTGATATTTGTCTCTTACAACCATCAAAATCAAGGTGCCAACCAAAATAGGATTTAGGGTTTAGATATTTGTCTCTAACAATCATGTTGTTGTGATAACCCTTTAGCAGCCACACGAACTATTTATTGCTCAACAAACGACTCAAACTTAGTTTTGATCTTATAAATGCAGCGTTAACTAAAGGCAAATTTTCCAAAAGGAAGAGGAACAACATCCCAAGTACCTATCACATGCAGAGTAGAAAATTTCTCTAGCATTTACTACTGCAGAAGTAGATTAAGAATAGCCCTTTATAGGAAGAGTACAATGAGAGTTGGTGAATAGAGGTAAATTAAAAAATCTAAAAAATGTTAAAAAAATGAAAAAAAGAGATTTAAGGTGCGTTTGGGGAGGCGACACGGTGTCACACTATAGTTTTTCTTATTTGATAAAACTCTTATTTCCCACCATACCTAGTTATCAACGTTGACCGCAAGAAAGTTGTGAACTTACTTTTTCTTTTTTAAAAAAATTATAATGACCACCAAAGTTTTTTAAACGAGAGCTTCTTCTTCAGTAACTTCACAGTTGTTTCTTCAAATAGTAGCAACTCCCCCAAATAGACCCTTAATATGTGGAATAAAAAATCCAAGGAGTAATGAACTTACGAACACATTAAGGGTAGTGAGAAGGAGGATCTGCAATCACAGAAGCATCTTAAAAAATGTTGTGATAACAACAATATTCCTTTTGGCTTGCCCTTTAATCAAGAAAGACACAGTGTTAAACGAGAGGCGAGTTTGCGCTAGGTTCAACATGAGAATGAAGAACAAAGCATGCTAAACCAAACCCATCAAGATAGCACTATATTTCCTCGTGCAATGCTCTTCCTTTAAATAAGAGTCATATAGTTAGGATTGTCAAAATGGGTCATTGTCCGTGAAGAGCTCGTGTTCGGCTCGTCAAGTAGCTTGTGTTTTAATTTATTAGTTAAGCAAATGAGCTGAACATAATAATTTTTTTGCGTTCTATATATAAATTGACCGAACACGAACAAAAGTTTGTACGTTCGTGTTCGGCTCGTTTTGACACGAAATAATTAATATATAATGCCGCAAGCCTTGACCTGTTTGTTGGCGGGGTTCAATGTAAGTCACTCAGGTCACTGGTTCGATTCTCAGTGACGCTGGTTTCTTGAATATTATGGCACATGGCGCAGACTCTTATCATGGGGCCTAGCACATTAAAAATCGATATTTGGGCCTATAACAAATACCAATTTCGCTTATATATATATATATATATATATATATATATATAATTGATGATTTTTTTTTAAATAATTTAATAAACTATACGCTATAAGGATTTGTAATCAATTAAAATTATTAATTAAGAAAATAAAATAAAATTTAATAAATTTTATTTGAATGAATATTTTAATATAAATAATAATATTTAAATTTGGTCTCTCCTCTTAATATCTAATAACTACGTGATTAGGGATGTCAAAATGACTAATTATTTGTGAATAGCTCGTGTATGACTCGCTAAGCCAATGAGAGAAACACATAAAATTTTGGTGCTCGATATTAATGTGCTATATACGAGCAATAATATTTTTTAATGGGCCGAATATTAGCCGATCCTGGGCTCTCTCAAGCCTCACTTGTTTACACTCTTAGATATAGTTTACTTTGACATTATAGTTTTGTATTCAAATAGTCTATGCCATATAAATTTTTTTTTATTTTACTTCAAGAATTTTTAATCAAAATGAATCTTTAATTTTTAATTTTTTTTTTGGATAATTGTAATAAAAGTTTTTATAAACTGTGTAGAATATAAGTGTTCAATAATTATTCACGTAGCATATTCATAGTTTATAAGATAATTCAGTCCATATTTTTTTATTTTTAAAAACTAATGATTATGATTAATCATTAAAAAAATAATTTATCCTCCCACTATTATTTATTTATTTATTACTTTAACCATACATGTATGCTCGACCATACCCGAACTCACAAGTCACGATCCTCATGTTGGGACATCGCATGCAGAGATGCATGCGGTGTCTGATCTCCACCGTACGCGACCATACCCGAACTCACGAGTCATGATCCTCATGCTGGGACATCGCATGCAGAGATGCATGTGGTGTCTGATCTCCACCATCTCACTTATCAGCTTATCCTGAAATCGCATAAGCTGCCCCAAACGTACCCTTAGTGGCATGTACATAAATGTGTCTTTATTTTATTTATAGTTTGTTATTATATAAATATCCAAAATGATTTAATTAATTATTGAAGCTTCTTCAGTTGTAATTGCATAAAAAATTGCGTTTATCTAAATTTATTGAATTTCTATTGGACTAAAATATAACTGATTTGACATTTTTGGTTGTTCATATACATGAAATAAACTCACAGTAATGGGCCGAATCTATCACTCGTGGGCTCTTATTTCGTGATACAAATGTTGGGCTGTAGTTTTGTGGCTTTTGTTTTTTAAACAATATGGTATTGCATAAAATTTATTTTTTTTTGAAGCAATTTGACATTTGTAGGGTGCTGATTTTACAAATCAAACACCCAACATATCTTTTTCATCACTCTCCAACAGTGAAATCCATATTTTCAGCAATAAGTGGGGTGCTGATTTTATAAAAATGAGAATTTGGATGTGAGCAGGTAAATACTTAAAAGATGGGTGCTGTGTATGTAAATTTTCGTATTAGTTATTTATTCTTTAGGATTAAAATTCTGACATATGGATGATTATTTGTAGGATAATTAATTTCTTAATATGTAATTATTATCAAATTAGTTGACCATTTAATTTAATTGCTATATAGATTAACTTATCATTTTGTTATTCAGTCACCCTAATTCAGTCTACATTTATTGTAATTATTATTTTCTACATAGATGGATATGTATATTAATTTAATAAGTAATTAATATTGTAACGCTCCACCAGTCCTTCTAATATGTCTGGAGTCCAATAAAATCACACGACGTGGAGGTGACAAAAAAATAAAAAAATTCGTTTTAGCACAAGTGAATATTCCCCCCATGTTATTCTGCATTTTTCAGGTGTTATTGTGATGAAATTCATGTATTATTGTGTTATGAGTATATTTCCGGTGTTATAATAACATAATAAACACATCAATACCACAACAATAATAACTGAATAATGCATAATAACACTAGAGAAATATTCATCTGTGTTACCGGTCTGGATCACAATAAAATAAATTTTTTTTTTCCTGTCAGTTTCAAGTGAAGTTGATTCATTGGAGGTAATAATTTTTTGGTGCGGAGGCCGCGTGCAACACTAAAATTTTATTTATTCGGACATTTTAACAGTTTTGTCAGTTTTAAAAAAATTATGGTTAAAATCTCCATTTTTCGAGTTAGATATGCAATTTATAATATTTTAGTGGTATGCATTTAAAATTTCCATCCTAAAAACACGACTTTTGTGATTCGTGGAAATCGAAGAGACGGTCAGAGACGAAGAATAGCCGAGAGGGTAATCAATGGCACTCCAGTGGCTGATACTCGAATGCGTGGTGGCGGTGGAGGCGGCCATCGCTGTACTTCTCACTCTTCCATGGCCCAAGAAGATCGGTTCCCGGATCGTTCCCCTAATTTCCATGCTGCTGCAGCCCTTCGCAACCATTATTCCCTTCGCCGTCTTCAACCTCTTAGGTATTGCCGGCTTTCTTCTTCTCCTTCCTTGCTTCATTTGCCGTTTTTGTCCGTCTATTTCTTAGATTTATTGATGGTTGATGGCTAGATCTTTACTGGAAGAGTGAGCACCGGCTAGAGTGTTCCTCCGAGGTGTGCACACAAGAGGAAAGATTCCATTACGAAAGATCCGTAAGGCCTATTTTTATTCTCTTATTGTTTTCTTTTTATGGATTGAATGGAGCGTTTTGATTGGAATTTGTCTACTGAGTGTCTAAATGAAGTTTTTTTGTTATGTTTTTGTAACCTATTTTTATTCTCTTGTTGTTTTCTTTTTATGGATTGAATGGAGCATTTTGATTGGAATTTGTCTGCTGTTAGTGTCTAAATGAAGTTTTTTTGTTATGTTTTTGTAAAAAAGGTTTTTTGAAAGCTATTTTGGCATCATAGTTTTTTTTTTCATCGATAACAAAAGATCATATTTTAGGTGGAATGAAGGAATAGCCACTTTCTTGAAGGAAAAGTAGCACCGATGTTAGCTATATGGCGTTCCATTTATCACTTTGTGGGGGAACGTATAGCGAAACAGGTGTAAAAATGACATGGAAAATAAATTTTTATGGAAGTTATATTGAACGTGCCAATAGATGACACAATTGATTGTTTAACATCAAATGGGATTATTTTTTTTCTTCCAAGCATTAAACTCTTGTAAATGGCATCTATAAGTCTCTTTAGATGGCACCTATATATCCATCAAATGTGTCGCCACATATAAGACTATCTATTGGTGAAAATAAATAAATGAAAAAATTATAATCACCATTAAACATATTAAATACAACCTTTTAGGCTAAACAAAATTTTTTTGAGCAACTTAGTTATGAGGCTTTCTTGTTGAGAATAGCCTAGATAAATTGAATAAGATGCTATATGGAGAGGCATCCACTGAGATATGAATATAGATGCATACAATAAAAACAATGACAACAACAACAAGCCTTTATCCCACTAAGTGGGGTTGGCTACATGTATCCTTTTTCTTCATTGGGTCGTATTGAGTGTCATATTTTGATTTTATTCTAATAAATTAAGATAATTTTTTATACAACACACCCTAGTATTTTTAGGTCTATCTCTATCATTATTAACATAATTCAAATCTAAAGCATCTACTCTCATATCAGGGCTATTATATGATCGACATTTAATGTGACCAAATCATCTAAGGCAACTTTGTTTAATCTTGTCTTCATTGGAGCTACTTCAACCCTTTCATGGATATTCGTTTCAAATTTTGTGTCTATGCAGTCTCAAATCAACAACACTTTCGATTTTACAGGCCAACATTTTGCGCCATAAAGCATTGCAATTTTCACCAACATCTTATAAATTTTTTCTTTAAGGGTGCGTTTATTGCAGCTTTTTAGCTACAGTGCAGCCCCAAAATGTAGAAAATTCTGTTTTGAAACTGTGGTGCGGCGGCGGTGTGAGATAATCTTATGTACGCGCGAGATGCGGGTTAGACCTTGCTGCCCGCGTTTTGATAGCGTGATTTTCGTCTGCGTGCCCTCGTTTTCGTCTGCGTGCCCTCGATTTTCTTCTCTGTTGTGCTTGATGCATTCATGCTTTAGCGGCCTTCTCTTCTAACTTCGACTAACGATCTTCGGTGACACTCTCATCTCCTTTCTCCCTTCTGGGTGGTTCCAAGCTCATCTTCTCTTCCGTCTTCTGGTATTTCTTACCCCTCTCTTTCCCCTTAGACAAGGTATATGGTTGGCCTTGGGCTGTGGTTTTTGGCTTTTACCTGCGATAGCTTGGTTTTTACGAATTGTTCTATGTGCTTATGGCTGTGATTGCCGTTTGTGGCTTAGTGGCTTGCGGTTTATGAGTTAGCTCTGTGAATGACTCTTGTGATATTGTTCTTTTGCAGTTCCTATAGAGAAATTGATGATAGAATTTGAGAGATAAGTTCATGGAATATTTTTCCATTTTTGCTTTGGTTTTTTGCGGTTTATGGCTTATCTCTGTGATTTCCTCTTATGGCTTGATTTTTGTGGATCCTATGGAGAAATAGATGAAAGCATATGAGAGAGAATTGATAAAAGCATATTAGAGAAAATTTTTTACTTTTTTTGGCTTTATTTTTTTCGGTTTATGGCTTAAGCAAGTGATTGTCTTTCGTCGATTGGTTTTGTGGACTATATGGAGAAATTTATGAAAGCATTCGAGAGAAAAATTCATGACTCTTTATAATTTTTTTTGGCTTTGTTTTTTTCGATTTATTGCTTAGCTTTGTGATCACTGGATCATATGGAGAAATTGATGAAAGCATTTGAGAGACAAATTCATGAAAAGCTTTCACTGTTGTGCGGCTTGAGTTTTTTGTTTTATGGCTTTGCTCTGTCATTGCCTTTTGTGGGCTGGTTTTTTGGATTTCTATGGATAATTTGATGAGTGAAATTCATGAAATCTTTTGCCTTTTGTGGCTTTCTTAGGGCCTCACTCTATGGAATCATTAAAAAAAAAGGAGGAAATGGTGGCTGTGTGTTGATGTCATTTGTTGTTTCTACATGTGCTGGCTATATGTGTTTTTGGTGGCTGTGAGCTGGTGTTGGCGGCGGCGGCAGTGTTGTGTTGGATATTTGCGTGGTGATGTTGGTGATAGTAAGTGTGTGGTGTGGTGGTAGTGGTTGTATGATGGGCGAGGTGGTGGTGGTTGTGGTGGTGGGGATAAGTGGGTGGTAGTGGTTGGGTGGTGGTGGTGTATGTGTTGGTGATGTGGTGGATGAGTTGGCGATCGTGTGTTGTGTGTGTGGAGTTGTTACATTGTTGTTGTGTGTAAGGTGGTGGCTGAGGTTATTTGTAAGTGGTGTGGTGGTGTGGTATGGAGGGCTAGTGGTGATGCTGTTGTAACATTCACATTTTTCTTTGAGCTGAGTTAAATATTTTTTTTGGCAAATGTTTATGTTGTTTAGTTTTTTTTCATGCCAGTATACACTAGTTAAAACCAAAGAGGCCGGTTCATTTACAATGTGGGAGGATACCAAAATGATATTTTGCGACATATACCTGTAGGAGGTCGAGAAGGGAAATAGGCCGATAAAAAATTTAGGAAAAGTATAAGTAGAGAGTACGATAGGATATAGTTGAAAAACTAATGGGATCAGTTGAAAAATGATTGAAAAATCTTGAATGAATTGAAGCTAGGAACCACGAGCTTGGGTTGAGATCTGATAAAGCGAGCAATTGATCCTTTTGAGGAGTGGTGGGCTGAAAGATTGATGGTAAGTATTTTTGAAACATCTATTGCTTTTGTTTATTTTTAATTTTTTTCAAGTCCATCAAGATGTCAATTGAATTTGTAGGTGGTGACAACCACTAAAAAAATTAAATACAGCGGCTTCGATCTTGAGCTTTAAGATAAGTTAGATTGTATGTTTGGTGGTGTCCTGACCACGAGCAATAATGCATGTGCCGCCAGTGAGGTGGGGTTTGGTGTCACCCCTGCAAATTTAGCTGCTGACCAAATAGGTGATTTTAACGAAGGCCTCAGCCTGAACCACAATGAGGTCAAATCAACTGGCCAATCAAAGCGGCCCAGGGTTGAGAAGAAGCTTTCATTAGAAGTTATATATCACAGGCGGCTTCATGCACCAATGACCTTGACCCACCGCAAACATCTGTCCAACAGGTTATGCGAATTATGGAGGCAACTCTAAAAATTTACTGGAATATGCCGCTGTATTTTTTCTCTATGAATATGCTTGAAGATTCGACTTGGAAAAAGTTTTTCATGACTATGGCCGCTGACCGTGGGTTGATTACCTACGTTATTTTCGTGAGAACAGTGACGCTTGAGGGACACTTTTTTCATTAGATTCTTATGGGACCTTTCATATTTGTTATTTGTTTATTTATTTTGGACATGATGCTTTGGACATTTTTCACTAGATGCTTTTGGTTTTTCGTGTTGCTTTGATCATTTATGCTACTTTGAAAATTTCAATTTACCCGAGTTTTCCATTCTTTGTTTGGTTTTTTATTTACTTCATTAATATTATTTTGATGATGATTTTTTTCATAATGTTATATGATCGTAGCTAATTCGTTGATGTTTATGTGTTAGTTACTTCGACACTGAAATACATGGATGCTAATAGAGAACGACATAGGAGAGTTGCAGCTGTTGTGTATCTGATGTACGGATATTATACTCGTACATAAAACACTCTCCTTGCATGATATCCTCATATGTTGGCGATAATTGAGTTGGGGAGCTTCTTGCGCGCCACTCAATGAGGTTTAAAAATATTGTCTGCATGACACAGACGACATTCACCGATCTGTTGGAGGAACTTCACAGAAATCATGGACCTCATGACTTCATCAGGACGATTTCACGAGAGGTGTTAGTAATAACTCTCTACATATTATCGCATAATGAATCAATGCGATGAGCTATGAAACGATTTTAGCACTCTTTCGAGACAATTTATAGGTACTTCTCATTAGGGCTGAATGCACTCGTCAGTTTTTCATTACAAGTTTTAAAACCAGCAGATCCTACATTCGAACGGACCCCCAAGAAGATTTTGCACGATGTGCGACATATGCCATACTTTCAGGTAATTTTTCTTATTTAGTACATTCAATTTTCATATAAATATAGTAATTACGGAACTCTTTTTTATCTTTCTAGAATTGTATTAGAGTAATTGATGGAGCACACGTCGATACACGTGTTCCATGCAATGAAAATATTGTATTCATCAGTTGTTGTGGGTTAGCGACGCAACATGTCATGACCATATACGACTTCAACATGTGTTTCACTGCTACTGAGGGTTTGTGTCATTCAATTTTTACTAATGCTAAGTTTAACGGTTTGTGTTTTTAAGCCTTTAGGAAGGAAGAGCTCGAGGATTTCTGGTACCTCTAGAGGATCGCATTGTTACCGCGGACTTCAGTATTCCCCGCTCACTCGCATTAGCCACATAGCTATAGGATATTGTTTTACAACTGTCCATGTAGTATCACAGAAAAATGTGACTATTTTCGGTAGACAGATGGGCTGAAAGATTTCATCGCCTTGAGTCACCAGGTGTGGACAATATCTCAGGATGACAGTTTATCTCATGACATAATGCATCTATATTTTAAAAATAACATTATCATATTATTAATTGTTA